GACATAAAACCAATTTTTATTGATAACTAAATCTATGGTACATGATAAAATCTTCTCATACTTAGTTTAACACCTTCCTTAATTTTACATTGCAATTGAAGTACACATGGTACAATGAGTTAAATCTATCTTTAATAAATTTTAAGTTTAATTTTATTTTCAGTTCATTTACTCGCGCCTGTGTAATGATTAGCTTAGCAACTTTAATGCTTCAAATACATAATAATAAAGGACTCAAAAAAAAGTCTCATTTATGAACTATCTAAGCACTTGTTTTGAAACTTTTACAAGTTCATCAGGAATTTCTCGTTTTATTGACTGTTGCGGTTGTTCCCACAGTTCCTACTCTCTAACATTTAAGATCATTTGCATATTAAATGTAAGTATATAAAACATCAAAAACTAGTTTAATCATTAACATTTCAACTAATAATTCTGATTCTCAAAATAACTTAATACAAGCCGAGGCTTATGCAGTTACTGTTCTGCTGATTTTTAAGATGGACATTATACTTTAGGTATGTATTTAAGTTTTGACGTTATAATCACCTTCTAATTTCTCAATGGATTGAGCGATCATCTTCTGCCGCCTTCCTGATTTGGACACAAGAATCTCACAAATATTTCTTTCCTTTGCTTCTTCACTCCTTTACCACCTATTTTTGGCTACTTAAGGAGGACCTACAGTGAAGCCTAGAGCATCACAGTCACCCCTCTCTTTACCTCCTCTTGTAGCCACCAAATTCTCTCGACCAACTTCTTTCCTTTTCCTTGGCACAAACTCATAGCCCATCTAAACGAACCATCACGATTCAGTCGTGATTAGAGCCACCCGAGAGGCAACAATGGGATTGTCGGGTACATAGACCACCAAAACTCCTATCTTTCGCCTCCTTCCTTCAAACTACAGCTCTTTCGTTCTCCTTGCCCGATAACATCAGAGTGAAACCACCATCTTTTCCATCGATGAATAGCCACACCGCTAAATACATAGAAGTATCATATTTATCACCTCGACGTAAGTAACTGTTTTATATTAAGGGATAAATGTATCATTTCTAGTTAGGGACGTCAATCCTTATTACTTGTAGTAGACTTCTGGTTCATATGATTGCCACTTGTGCCATTGCTAATTTATTTTTTTTTTATTTTGCACTTGTGATATGTTTCAGTTATTTTGCACTTGTGATATGTTTCAGCTGTTTCTCATAATGAAGTAATAAGTTGTTTTATTTTATAGCTGCAAAACATCATATAAATTCTACAAGTATAATATCTTCTTACCCTACCTTTTTGAAATTGCATGTAAATTATTTTCATTTCACAAGTCTGTGTGTAGTAGCAAATTTCTTACATATTATAATAATGAAAAATTTTGTATGATTATGTGTAATGATGTATAGGTTGATGGAACTCATTTGGATAGCCAAGCCAGCAAACTCATAGAGTGACGACTCTATAGAATATCGTCGAGTTTTCTTGAGTTACTATTAACCCTCCTTATTTTAGGGTTTTTCTTAAAACTAATTATATAAATTTAATTTAAACTAAATTGAAAAAATATTAACTTATGCATTAATATGACTTAATCAAATTGAAAATAATCGCATGCTCATAATTGAGCATATTCCTGTTTCAATACTCCTGTGATTTTATGATATTATATATGCATAGTTATTATTTTTTATTGTTTATACTGCATGCTTTATTTTTCTTATTTTTAATACTTTAATAAATAATTGTTATTTACGGAGTTTGCTTGTCAAACACACTCATTTGTATTTTTGCATAACAAGTTTTATTCAATCACCAACAAGACCGTATACACCAAAACAAAATTTTAGATTTTAGATTTCTCATTTTTAGTATTTTTCTACTTCTCATTAGTTATGACATTTTTCTTCCATGGCCTCGCTAAATGTTATTTCTTTGAGTTATTTTCTTATTTTTCTCGATTGTATGACTTTTATTTATGGAATAAAATAATATATATTTGCTTATTTTTAGTAGATTTCTTGTAGGATTGCCACTTGTGCCCTTGCTATTTTAGTTTTTTTTTTTTATAATTTTGCACTTGTAATATGTTTAGTTATTGCTCATAATAAAGTACTTGGTTGTTTTATTTTATAGCTGCAAAACTTCATACATATTTGATTAAATTCTACAATTATAATTTTTTCTTTTATGATACTTTTTATTTATGAAATTGCATGTAAATTAATGTCATACTACAAGCCTGTGTGAAGTAGCAAATTTCTTACATATTACACATGTGAAAAAAAATTGATATGCTTAAGGGTAATAATGTATAGGTCAGTGGAACTCTTTTGGATAGCCAAGCCAATAAACTCACAAAGTGACGACTCTATAGAAAATTGTCGAGTTTTCTTGAGTTGGTATTAACCTTCCTGATTTTTGGGTGTTCGTCAAAACTAGGGGTGTAAACGAACCGAACACGAACGAACAAAGCTTGTGTTCGTGTTCGGTTCGTTTAAAATTTAGTTTGTTTGAAATAAGCTCGTGTTCGTTTCTTAACGAACGAGCCGAACACGAACCGAACACAAGCTGTTCGCGAACGACGAGCTAGTTTGTCATCTCTAATATTAATATATAAAAATAATATTATATATTAATTATATAACTTATATTATATAAATATACAATATCTATATTAGTATATTACTACTATAGTATATTAATATATTATTATTATTATTTTATTATATATTATAATTTATAAAATTTAATGTTTTAAAATATAATAAATTTTTTATATATAATTATTTTATATTATTTTATATTTCAAACAATAACGATTCGAACACGAACGAACGCATTACTGTTCATGTTTGGTTCGTTTAACTAACCGAACGAAAAAAATTTGTTCGCGTTTGTCTCGTTTACTTATCGAACGAATCGAACACGAACTCATTGACGAACCGAACACGAACTGTTCGCGAACAACGAGCTTTTTTGACAGCCCTAGTTAAAACCGACTATATAAATATAAATTAAATTAAAATTGAAAAAAAAATGAAGTTATGAATTAATATGATTAAACTAAGAAATAATCACATGTTCATAATTGAGCATATTCATGTTTCAATTCTCCCGTGAATTGTATGATGTTATATATGCATAATTGTTCCTCTTTATTATTCATACTTCATGCCTTATTTTTCTTATTTTTTATGATTTAATAAATAACAGTTATTTATTGAGTATGTTTGTCAAACTCGCTCATTTAAATTTTTGCATAACATGTTATATTCAGCCACTAACAAGACCATATACATCAAAGTAGAATTTTAGATTTTATATTTTTAGTATTTTTCAGTTTCTCACTAGTTATGCACATTTCTTCCTAGGCATTGGTAATTGTTGACCTATCATTATTTTGATTTCTTTCAATTATTTTCTTATTTTCCTTAATTGTATGACTCTTATTTATGAAATAAAATAAAATTTATATTTGTTATTTATCCATGTTATTGTTCTCATATAATATTTCTTTTCAGAATACAAAATATGCTCAATTTACTTTTACTAACCCATAAAATAAACAAAAAATGAGAATAATTAATTAAATTAAATAATTAACTGTTCACAATTATTATCTCATTTCCTTTCATATGAAAGAAACAGTGTTTTTGACATAATGATATGATTGCTTGGGTTATTCATTGAAGAAATACTTTATGAACCATATAATAGGCTTATACAAGATAATATCTATGATCATTTGAGAGGGATTTAATGGCTACTTGAAGAAGTTTAAGGAAGAAATTCTATCTTCACCTTCACCCATTTTTCTAAAACTTTTTAAAAGTATGATGCACACCATATGATTCTTATGTATTTGTATATCAAACAATTAAACTTAATTTCTTTATATATTTACTATTTTACTTGTGCATGAAAAATTATCTTGAGAATATTTCTGACATGATATAAAAATTTAGGAGGTGATAATATGAAAAGCAAAGTTTAGGTATTTATCTTCTGGATGTCCACTTTTCAATTACTCTGTATATGCTAAGAAGTGCTCTCCTTTGATTTTCTTTATGATAATTATTACCCAAGGTCGGACTTTATACGCACAGATGTTGATGGTTACCTACTGAGGTCCTTCGAGAAGAATTATCAGGGTTGCATGCCCTGAAGCCGAGCCCATCCCTAACTCAAAACTTATACCCAGTTTTGATCTTTCATATGTTTATCATCTAACATTATACAAACATACATATTTAAAATTACAAAAAAAATGCTCAATATTTGTTTGATTTTTGTATGTATATATAAAATGCCATCATAGGTGGCAAGTATGTGCACCTACCTTTTCTTTTAATGTACTTAATTATATATGCTTCATTTATACATGTTGTACTGCAATTGTTCTTCTATTTAGTATATTCCTAACATCTAAAAAGAAACCTTAGGATAGAGGACAAAGAACATATATTTAGGTGGAAATCCTACAACACACGACCAACACATTCTTTTGACAAAAACAACTTTAGCTTTCCAAATTTTATAACAAAACACATTCAATTAAATGAAATCATTTGAAACTTTAATAAATCAATTCAAACCATTCACTTAAGATAGAATATTAAAAGAATAACACAATCATAATAATTCACTCTTTGGGATTTATGAGGATTTCTTGGATGAAGTAACCCATAGTTGTTAACAAAAGTTTTCTGGTTTAAAAAAAATTAATAGCTTCGTTAGACTGTAAATTCAAAATTAATTGTTGTCCCAGGACGATAGAACCATGAGATCTTAACAAGTGCAGCTTAAAATAATTAAAACACCCTCATGTTCCTCAATAGAACCATGAGATCTTAACCGGGACGATACAACCATAGGAATTGTGTGGTATTTATCTAAATGCCCCAATTTATATTTATTCAGGACAGTTTTTGTTGCATGATTTTATGATTCCTGATTCCTAAAAATACAATATAACATCAATAAAATAATTTTTAATTGCTCAAAACTACAGCTCATTTCAGTTTCTACTCAAAAATGGTACATAAAGCCCAGCTTTTGTACACTTTTATCTGGGACAAAAACAGATAAAAATAAAAAATACAATGTTTTGATCATGTTTTATCAATCAAAAACCTGAACTTTACCCCAAAAAGACCATAAAATAATTTTCCAAATGCTGATGTTCTATTTTCATTAAAAAATCACTATAAATAAAATGTTCATAAACTGAAAAACAAAATACCAAATACGAATTGTGAGACTTCAGCTACTTCACTCAGGATTCTTTTAATCTTGATTACCAGTAAATGTCTGAAATCTTCAAGTTTCAGAAGAACTTCCATCAAATCTGTAGAAGAAAGGAGTTAAAATATACATTTCTGATGAGTCACACCCAGATGCAATAAACAGGAAGTCTTTTTTCTTTTACCAATATATGCTCTTAGCCAAAGATAACTCATGTTTGCTCCGAATTTTGAGAGACTGTATTGATCTGTTGATTCAGAATTTTAAGACTACATTTATTCCAAAGCATTTAGATAAATACCACCCAATTCTTATGCATTTACATATATTACACCTAAAGTTCATTTTTTTTTACATTTTTACCACCCAAATATTTCATATCACATAAAAAATAACTAGTATTTTAACTTAAAGCAAAGGTGGCATAAATATAAAAGCTAAGTTTTTAGATATGTAAATACATAAGAATTATGTGCTATGTATGTAAATAGTCCAAAAGAAAAAAAAAAAGGGTATTTTCAATACCACAAAACCTTACCAGACTTGGCATGAGAATGTGTTGCAAGTCCATAGACAGCATATTTTGCATAAGTAAGAAGGCGCAAGCGACGCGGGGCACCGAGTTTGCTCGATATGGAGCTCAACAAACCACTATGGAAGAAGAAACTGATGTCAAGAAAACAAATAGAAATATTGCATTTTAAGTATTGAAAGCAAAGGGTGTACTCTGTTCGTAGTATTGACAGAAATTCAGGAGGTAGAGATTCAGTGAATGATGAGATATCTTCCATCCTGAGAGACTGCACTTCTTGCTTTAAACGTTTCTTCTCTTCCTTGCTCATTTGTGTTCCGAGAGCAGATTTGCTGATGAAAAATAACACATAATAAGGAGCATAAATATTTTGGAAAATTTACATACATAGCAAGCAATTCTCTTGTATTTACCCATCTAGCACTCACTACATTATATATATATATATATATATATATATATATTGTTGTGATTTATATCTAATGCAAGGTTCTATTTGTAAATGAAAGACATCTAGATATTTGTAAATGTTGTAAGTCATATAAACCAAAGTGTTAATAAAATGAGTAAGTTTCGACGTTGTAGGTCTCTGTGCCATCAATTCTTTATGGTATTAGAGCCCAAACCCCTAGCAGCCTAGCAGCCCTGGTTGATGCGTCGGGATGCATGAGACCCGGAACTCCAACTTTTCTCCCAAACTCGTGTTACTGACTCAACTAGAGCAGAAAGAAGGGAATCACGACTATACAGATCGCGGTGTTTTACAGTCGCAACAAGGGGATCGCGAGATCGCGAGATGGCAACAAGGGGATTGCGACACGAACTCTCACGATGTAATCGTGCTAACTAGGAAAGCCACTACGGGATCACAATCTTGCAATACAAGCGCGATTGGGGCGGTATTGTAGCTTGTGAACCACCGTGATATAGTCGAGCTCATGTGCGAACTGAAAACGCCTTCGACTGCTGGATAACTGCAAAATGATTCAAGCGAATCAGTGCAGGGCAGAGGTGAAGCGCGCGTGAAATCATAATAGTTAAAGGAGAGAACTTTGGTTCTACGTGTGCGAGTGGACAAAGAAGGCTTCTAAATTGAAGATATCAGAAGATGGAGATAGTGTGGGAGGTAAAGGTTTGGTGCTTCTTGGGAAGATAGATCCTGAAATTTTAAAAGTCTTGGTTGGGCTCATACATGGAGCTAGCGTCTAGATGGAAGCCACTACTTCTGCACGTGCTCTGAGGTAGGGGAAACTAGATCTCCATCTTGTGGATCTAAAGCTCGATGGACTGGCCACATATTAGAGTTGGTCGCGTCGGATGTAGGGAAGAGGTTAGAAGGATACCGGACGAAGGTCAAACCAAACAGTGGCAGTATTCAGGGGGATGAGTGGAGGACCACACATGCATTGATTTACACCTAATTCTTCAATTCGATGGTTCCATCGATTGCCTCATCAGTGCATGACATTCAAAAGGTGAGCGACATCTGGGCAAAACTGAAGAAGATCTATGTTGGAGCTGAGAATCACATGATGGTGCTCCAGATTCAACGATTCAGGGTGATAGATCGATTTAGGAGTACTTCATAGAGCTGGAGCAGCTGTGGCAAGCTCTTAATCAATTCTCACCTATCTCAAGCTGTGGTGATTAGGGTGAAGACGGGGGAGATCTTAGCACAGATGAGAACTATGCAGTTTCTGGCTCACTTGAACCCAACCTTTGATCAGAGATCAGTTCTCCTAGTCCAGACAACACTTCCTAAACTGGATGAGAGCATTACTGCAATGATACCGGAAGAGAGTCGCATGAGGATACACTCTGAGCTAAGTGGACTTCCAGGTATGCAATCAACGTTGGGTTGGCTGCCTCTAGCTCAAGTATGGCAGATTCCCAGAGGGGAGACTCGCAAGTGCTACATCTGTGGAGAAGGTGGACACCTAAGTAAAAATTATCCAAAGTCACCCAAAGATAAAGAAACATGCGGACGTGGACAGTCTAGAGGTCGTGGTTGTAGTCGAGGGGGCTACTGGGTAGATTTGATGGTAACAAAAGACGATAGAGAGACAAGGATAATCTTTACTGAGAATGATCACAGGTTACTGGAGCTGTTGAAGAGGAGGCAGAAAGCAACAAGAGATAGAGTTGAGGATGTTTCAAATCCATCGACATCAAGGGATAACATTGTCACTTATACTCAATTCAACAAAGGTATTGGTAGCACACTTGCTCTTACCTCTATTTCCATCACAAGATCATCAAAATGGATCATAGATTAGGAAGCTTCTCGTCACGTGATAGGTACTGCAGAAGAGTTCTCTTCATATACTCATCTAATAGAACCAGAGAATATATAGACCGTTGATGGTGTAAGGCAGTCTATAGTTGGTAAGGGTACAATCAAATGTACCAATCATATTATTTTGTTCAATATTTTACTTGCTCCTTTTCCAGAAAACATTTTATCCATTAATGTCATTATTCTCTAGTTAAAATGCATTATTTTTTTTATATTCCTCAGATGATCTTCCAAGAGAAAGGAATGGGCCAGACACTTGAGACTGGAACGTGACAAAACGGACTCTGATACTTAGACTAAGAGGGATTGACTTTGCTCTAGCATCCATGATGGAAAGTCCTGCAGTAGAAGATCTGGGAGGAACGTTGAGGATATGTTATTGCTACACCACAGACATATGAGATATTCTAGTCTTAGTTTACTGACTCAGTTGTATTCTTCTATATATGAAAGGGAAATAAGGAGAAATTGGTGTGTGATGTTTGCGAGTTTGGTAAGCTCACTAGAAGCTCTAATGCCAGTTCTGGGAATATGAGCTCTAGTATGTTTGATTTGATATATTCTGATGTATATGTACCTTGTTCTACTAGTTCTATAAATGGTTATTATTATTTTGTTACGTTTATTGATTGTTTTTCTCGTATTGCCTGGAAATACTTGATGTAATAGAAGAGTGAGGTGGTTGCTTGCTTTATAGATTTCCACGAGGCAATCCAGATCTAATATGGGGGCAGTTGAAGACACTGAGATCTGATAATGAGACTGAATATATCAACAGAGCATTTGAGGACTATCTGTCAGCTCAAGAGATACAACACCAAACCTTAATTGGTACAACTTAAACAATGCTCTTGTGACGGTTGTGTATTTGTATGTATGTATGTATACATATATGTGTGTGTGTGCGCGTGTGTATGTGTATATAAAGAATGGATGCATAACTAATATAGTACTATGCATTTAATCTGTTGAGCTATCTTGAGCAATCGTATCTGAAAATGTATACTATCAAATACTTTTATACTAGTTTATTGTTTTTAAAACTACCATGCTACGTTACTGTAGTTTAAAAGTTAGTATTCATTAGTTGTTATAGCTCACTTTTTTTAAATTAATATTTCAGGTTTAAACATTTGTTTAGAAGTTGAGTAATTGAGAAACAAATATTTATAAAAGGCACAGGCAATCCTAACTAATGTAAATCAAATTGTATTCCTTTAATATACTCTTTTTAGAGGCTCTTTTAATTTGTTTGGATTGTAAACCATTAATGATAGAATATAAAAAAAAGAATAATAATAATTTCACCGTTTGATTGTCTAGTACCGCATTAAAAGTTCTAAATCCCGGATCGGGTCTTCACAACTATCAATTCAGCCCCTACAACCATAATGCCCTAACACAAGGTTAATTTGGTCAAAAACCAATTTAGAGTTGAAAGCTCAATAATTCCAAGAGCTCATGATACAATTGTGATACTAAGGATTGTGGAAATTGGCATCATTAGAGATTGTACAAGATAGAATGAAAGATAAAGACCAAAGAGAAATTTGGCAATAAGAAAATGGTTATTCTATTTCTCCAATTTGAAGATCACTAGTATTAAAGCATGTAATGTAGAAGCATCTCACTTATCCAATAGAGCACTGTAGAACCCAAAATAAGTAAGAAAACACAATTATTTCTTCAATTGATCAAAAACGATACCCAAAAATGAATAAATCACCTTATTTATAGGTGACACTCCTGCCAACTAAGGTAAAAATGGAAAATACAAGCCTTGAAGTCTTCGAGAAAACAATCATAAAGCATAGGTAAACTTATTTAATTGGAGTCAAATAATCAGTCTTGTCCTTCATTAGAGACGCATCAAGGTAGAGTTGTTTATATTAAGAATTAGTAAATGTAAGGCCTTTAATGAAAAGAAATATTTTATGCCATTCAAATTGACAGTGGTATCAATGGTGAAGATTGAGAAGCCAAGGCATCTTTTGAAAGAGCTTTGGAATAAAAAATAACAAGAGCAACAACAACAAAACATTTATCCCACTAAGTGGGGTCGGCTACATGAATCATTTTTCTCCATTGCATGCTATTTGCTATTTAGTGTCATATTTTTTTAGTGTCATATTTTTATTTAATTCTAATAAATTAAGATCATCTTTTTATATAACATGCCCAAGTCATCCTAGGTCTACATCTACCTTTCTTAACACAAGTCGAATCTAAAACATCTACTCTTCTCATCGGATCATCAGATGGTCGACATTTAATGTGACCAAACCACATCTAAGACGACTCTCTAATTTGTCCGTCACTAGAGCTACACCAACCCTATCACGGATATATTCATTACGCATTTTGTTTCTAAGTGTAAAGCCACTCATCCACCTAATTATTCTCATCTCGGCAACACTTAACTTAGTCTTATGCTTCTCTTTTAAAGGCAAACATTCAACGCCACAGAGCATTGCAGATCTCACCACCATCTTATAAAATTTTCCTTTCAATCTAGGCGGTACTTTTCTATCACATAATAGGCCCAAAGCATTCATCCACTTCAATCAACTAACATGAATTCTACTAATAACATCCCCATCAATATCACCATCACTTTGAACAATGGACCCAAAATATCTAAAGCGTTCACACCTTTTAATAATTGGATAACCCATTGTTACATTTTTGTCATTAGAGCTACTACCACTAAAATTACATTCCATGTATTCAATTTTAGTTCTACTCAAACGAAGGCCTTTATACTCCAAGGTAGACCTTCATAATTCAAGTTTTCCTGAGCTTTTTCTCTCGTCTTATCCACGAGAAGGATATTATCAGCAAAAAACATACACTAAGGTACATCCTCCTATAAGTGTCCAGTAAGACCATCCATAACTAAAGCAAAAATGTATGGGCTTAAAGCCGATCCTTGATGTAAACCAACAAAAATAGGAAAATATTTGGTCAATCCTCCTTTTCGAACACAAGTAACAGTTCTTGTATACATATATTTAATGACTTGAATATAAGTCATGTCAACACCATTCTTCTCAAGAACTCTCCAAAGGATATCCCTTGGAACCTTGTCGTAAAACTTTTCTAAATCAATAAAAATCATATGTAGATCCTCCTTATTATCACTGAACTTCTCCATCAAACCTTTCAATAAATGTATAGCTTCTATAGTAGATCTGCCCGACATAAATCCAAATTGATTATGAGAAATCCTTGTAATACGTCTTAACCTATGTTCTTTTCTCCTCTCCCATAATTTTAAAGTATGACACATCAACTTAATTCCTCTATAATGGGCACACTCTTGTACATCCCTTTTATTCTTAAAAATGGGAACCAAAATACTCTTTCTCCACTCCTCAGGCAATTTTTAATTTTTTAAAATAATATTAAAGAGTTTAGTAAACCAAGAAACTCCCAAATCTCCTAAATATTTCCACACTTTAATTGGGATATTATCTGGTCCTAGAGACTTTCAACCCTTGATTTTCTTTAAAGACTCCTCAACTTCTTTTTTACTAATGTGATGCTAAAAATGAAACATTTAACTATTATTAATGATATTAAGATCGTTAAGGTCGATCGTATTTTCCGAAACTTCATTATAAAAATTATCAAAATAACTCACCCAGCTATTTTGAATATCTTTTTCTAAGAAAAACACTTTTTGATTTTCATATTTAATACATTTTACTTGAATTAAATCTTTACTTTTCTTTTCTCTTGTTTGGCTAGTTTATACATATATTTTTCACCCTCCTTGATATCTAATTTATTATAAAAATAAATAAAAATAGAATTTTTAACGTCATAGATTGATCTCTTAGACTACCTAAGGACCGTTTGATATTTTTCTGAGTTCTCTAAGCTTTTACATTTAAATGAATTTTTATAACATATCGTCTTATATTTTGTCTTTTCTTGCATATTACTACTCTACCACCAACTATTTTTATTTATAAAAACTTTTTCTTTTGATTCTCTAAGTACAACTTTTGTCACTTGTTTAATAGTTTTTGTTACTATATGCAACAAGGAATTTGCTTCTTCATGAACATCCCAAATTTTGAAATCTTAAATTTTACTTATAAAATAATTTTATTCGTGTCTTTTAGTTACCCCCATTTAATTCTACGTGCTGATTCCTAGTATTCTTTATTTTACAACATTTCATCTTAAAATCTAAAACTAGTAATCGATGTTAAGTACTTAAATCCTCACTTGGAATGACCTTACAATCTTTAGATTCTCGAATATCTCTTCTTCTCATAAGAAAATAATCAATATTTTTTATTAGAACCATTCTTATAAGTAATAATATGCTCATCTATTTTCTTGAATAATGTATTAGCAATAACAAAATAATATGTTAAAGCAAAATCTAATATAGCTCTACCTTCTTCATCAATCACTCCAAAACCGACCACTATGAATATTTCTAAAATCTTCTACCACTCTACCGACATGTCCATTTGAATCTCCTCCAATAAAGAATCTTTCTTCAAGATCTATCATTTGTATTAAGTCTTCTAAGTCATTACAAAATTTATCTTTAGAACCTATATCTAAACCAACTTGAGGAGCATAAGCACTTATAATATTAAAAATCTTAGTATCAACAATAATCTTAAGGGCTATAATTCTATCTCCAACTCTATTAATTTTTACAACACTATCTTTCAAACTCTTATCTATAATTATACCTACTCCATTTCTAGTGCGACTCTTACCTGAATACCAAAATTTAAAACCTAAGTTATCAATCTCCTTAGTCTTTTCTCCAACCCATTTAGTTTCTTGAACGCATAGAATATTTATCTTTCTAAAAAAAACTTAAATCATGGAGAAATAATGATTGGTGATGAAAGTGGTTGTAGCTTATGGTAGCATGTAAACACCACCAAGTGTGAATCTAGTAGCAACAAATGACTGCCATGATGACTTAAAATTTCAAATTTCAGTATTTTTCATATGGATATACTTAAAATTTAAAATAAGAGTAAAAATCACAAGTGGAATAACATGACTTGTACGAAGCATTGATATTGAGTTAACTCATTTGAAGCATTTAAATACATGATATAATTTATTGCTCAAGTTTTTTAAACACTTAAAAGTAGGACTTGAACAAAGTAAATAACATAAAAATTCAAGAAATTTAAGTTAGCATTTTGTATCATCCCAAAACTTGAAATTCTAATAAAAAAATAAGAAAAAATACACCCAAAATATGAAAAGCGGTCAGTAAATTTGCATTGATTGTTAAGTATGATTATATAAATTTAAATATAATTAATGTGATTAACTTAAGGATAAATAATGTTATTATTATAAATTAATCACTATTATCAGTTGATTATATGATTAATTCGTGGTTTGTGAAAAGAGGGAAGGACGAGCATGGAGTGAAAGTGAGGTTAACAGTAAAGTGAAAGACTAAGACAAAAAATTTTGAAGAAGCAATTTCTACAAGAAAGAAGATGCGAAAAAAATTGAAGGCAGTGTTGGAGTAAAATAGGGGGTGAAAAGGATGGGAGCTAGGGTTCACTTGGCGACCTTTTGGAGGCCATTTCATCATTTTTTTTTTCTTGTATTGAGGTATGAAACTAGTAAGTTGCACTAGGACTCATGAATTTTTATCTTCACTAGCATGATTTGGCATTTTTCCAAAGTTTTGGAGTTTAAATTAATGGAAATGTATGAGAAGGTTCTTTACACATTCTCTAAATGTTGCTTCCTCCACACTTTAGGGTATGCACATGTAATTCCACAAAACTTCGCAATTGATTTATGAGTTTAATCATTAATACAGCACAAGAATGGTATGAGATAATATTTTTAGGATACATTATGTTACATGGAATGCTTTCTAATTATAATTGATCATTCTGTTTCATGATTACAATCGAACATACAATATTCAATTCACATTGAATGTGTTATGCATAAATCTTAAGTTTTAATTTACACATGAATTCCTACATGTTATGAAGCATATTATGCACACTTTTATATATTAACAATCTAAAAAAATAATTTTACAAGTCCCTTTAACATCTTTACATGATACTGAGTTAAGGAATTTAGAATTCAATATCCCTACATAAAAAGAATGCATACATATGCATAAATAAATTGTGATATTTAATGTATCATGCAAATACATGAAATATGAAAGTGAGGTATGATTATATAAAAATAAGAAAGTTACCTGTTCATGCGGTCACTCTTTAGCATGAAAAAAAAGCAAAAATCATACTCACCTTTCTAATGTTCTACCTGTGAAAATTACAGGAAAGTATTTTGAGTATTTGCCGACACCAAACCGGTTCCCAACATTGATTATATTCTGTGAATCCAGAAGGATTAGAGCCTTCCATAATTTGCAATAGTCCAACCTGAACTGCTCATCCAGTTCTCTATAAATTCCATGGTCTAGTAGGACTGAACTTTCAAAGAAATAAAGATATATTGTCATAACTCATGAAGTGTTCTTAAAAAAATTAAATTCTTGTTATTCGGCGTGATTACCTAATGAGAAACCTTTATTTTCTCCTTCAACAGAAACTAAAATATTGCCTGGATGAGGATCTCCATGCACAAAGCCGTGGACAAATATCATTTCAGCAAAGGCCTCTATTAATGCTTTGGCAACCTGCAAAATGGTCGAGGAAAATAAAATTAAACATGAGAAACAGCACAATGCAGCAATCCACAACTATGGGCACTAAAGTGCCAAAAAGAACACACAATTAAAACATAAACATAAAAGCATTTCAAAAGGAATTGGAATCAGAAAATGGACTCTTTCTCATCAACAGTTTTATCTTTGGGAAATAAGAATAGTCCAATAAATTATCAACCGTCTAGTTAATCGAAAAAATCACGAAAAATGCTATTGTTCTGAATGTCAAAAATGTCAGCCCTTGCGTATCAGTATTTCAGGCATCAATCAGAAAATGTGATCCCCACTAAATTAGTTCTGAAACATACCTTTACTGTATTTAGACCCGAATCCTTCAAAAATTCCAGGTCATCAACCTATAAAATTTTCACAATGCATGCTATAAAAATGAATGCTATAAAATGCTGTAGGTTGGTATGAAAAAGATAATTTAAAATAATTGATTGAAAAAATGTTCACAGAGCGGATTTCCAAGAAAAAATAGAAAATAATATATGCTCGGGAAAAATAAAATTCAGCATAATTAATTGGAAAAAAATTCAGAAAGCTGATTCCCGTTGGACACAAGTAAGATAAAAATGATGTGTATCAAAATAGACGACGAGAGTGCGTCTCCTCCCGCACGAGATGCGCGGGGGGTGGGGCGGGGTTTTAGTGCCGAACATGACGCACTTTCCGTGTGAACCGGTTCATCCCAAGGGAGGAGGGAACCACATGATCGCTCCTTTATGGAGAAATGCCGCCTAACTGGGAGGGTCCCACCCATAGCTACCCTAGTATATTTGTATGTCATTTTCTGTGTTTAGGTCAGTTTATTTTTTGCTGAGGATTCTGTTAGAACAGCCGCCGGCTGCCTGTGTTCCACTTATAGGGTTGTATCTGAAGAAAATAAGATATGCCGGTTGTAACTCATTCGAGATAGCTGTCACAACCCAACTGACTCCTCTTTAAGGGTTGGCTGAAGTGCAAAGAGGCTGACAATTTGGTCAAACAAACTCTCACCAGCACTTATCCTTACTTTTTATAATCAGGACCGAATGAGTGATGAATTAATCTAACTGGTTCGCCGCAAAATACGTGATACATTGCATTTCATAATCCATTCATATACATATTCGAAAGCATGAAAATCATATCATCCAAAACATATATACTTTACAAAGTTGTTAAATCCAATATAATAAAAATATGTACCTCCCAGAACTATCATGCAAAAGTTGTACAAAGACACACTTGACTACTTGCCCTGATGCTCGTTGCCCTTGAAGGCAACAATGAAGAATGAGCAACAACGAGCTCAAAGAAATAATCATAGCTAACATAAGATTTCATACATGAAAAAGAAATAACATGCATGCTCATAAGAAACTATACATATCTACACAGACAAATAAAAATATGCTAGCATGGTAGAGAACATGAAAAGAGAACAAGTAATATAAAAATTAAGGCTGCAGTGTAATATGTATTGCAAGTATGAAATCATAAGTATAATCAACAATATGTTCATAAGCAAGTTCAAAATATATAGTCATAGTAATTACATTTTATAGAAATCATTTCATAGTAATACCAATTGTTTGATATACATAATTCAACTATTTCCATGTCCTTCCATCATGGGTCTTCATCCTATCCTAAAGACCACATAAACTATCGATAAGGTTAGACTTCCTTAAACGTACCAGTTATCGATAATCTCTCTGATACCCACAGTTCCATAACATTTTTGTCACCGCCTGTTCTCAAACTTTTTTGTTTCTATATAAATATTAGAAGTCGAGAATACTAAATCCTTAATATCATAAGCATAGTTATACATATCATAGCATGATCATAGCATCACATATATCGTAAGAAAAATAAACATGCATTCAAACTTTCAATTGCACGTATCCATTTATAATATGAAAGAAATTCTAAATGTATTAGTGTCAAACTAAAAAAAACATGAAAATCAACAGAAGATTATTTTTCTTAAATTAATACAAGATTATTTCATCTGACTTGACGAAGCAGACTTATGACAAGTTCCCACATGCTCAACTTGAGCTTGTTGTCTTGTATACACAACCTGGGAAAAGTAGACATACAAGAAATTCAAGAAATTCGGGCTCATAACATGATTAACCCAAAACATAACTTATTCGCCCAAAAAATACCTCAAAAAGACTTATCGACATAAATTTGACTTTCCGAAATCACCAATTTCACTTCTCTCCTTCCTAACACCTTAAACCTTACTTATCCTCACTGATTTCATGCTAAAATAATATAAATTACGACGCTTCTGGCACAAAATCAACACCTCCAACGGCTAACGGAAACGAGAAAAGCACGAATAACGAGGTAAACTTCAATACAAAAGTGTGGATATGTAAATGATAGTCTTAAATGAAGTGAGAGAGGGATTCACACTTACAACAATTGTCCTGGAACCCTGGATCGTGCTCTGCATCTCCCAGGTGGCCGCTCGCCTCCCTGTCGTGCGCAAGGCTTGCGAGTTGCTCTGCGCTACGGTAAACGAGCGCAGATGCTCGCTGAATTCGCTTGCCAACGCTGCAATAAGGACAAGGGGGGAGAAAATCAGGTGAGGAGAAGGACTTCAAAGCTTGCGTCTCCCTCTTTGACCAAACGAACGAAATAATAGGCGTGCGGCGGTGGGAACATTGTTGGTACTGAAGATCAAGGAATGAATTAAGATAATTAAAGATTAATTACGTTAATAAAACTTAAAACATCAGAATTTTATACCTCTCAATTCGTCCACAACTCATGCATGGCGCTTTATATAGAATTGATCGGTTTCCTACGTAGAATTTTATAAACTCATTTCGATCGAATTGCGGGAGTTGAAAATTTTGTGGTACTTATCAATTGTGTCAAAGTATTTCTATTATCTTGAAATTTGGGCGTTACAGTGGAAACCATTCTCTAATGATTAAGTGGTGGTTTGGCTGTATTTTGATCCCGCGAAAATATTTATCCTTAACTCCATCAAAACCTTTTCGACCATCCCCTTGCTGTCCCCGCCCCCGAACAACCCTCCCCTCTGCTTTCTCGCAGTTCACGACCCTTCCCCTTCGCTGCCCCTAGCTATCCTAGCCACCTGCTTCGCTGTTTTCATTGTTCCAGACACCTTTGCTATGCAGCTCACCAGTCATTTCATTTGTCGTTCTACCCCTCTCCCTCCATCCTGCATCACCGCCGCAGCACCGCAAGCCTTGCCCCTTGCTGTCATATCGTTGTCCAACCATCCCATGATTGTTGCTACCTCCAAAACAAACACCCAAAATCCCTTCCCAGCTACAACCGCCACCTTCTAACCACCACCCAACCAATTACCAGCACTTCCAAAACCCCCAACAGCCTCCACCACCACCTTAGATCCACCCCAGTGTGAGTTTTGTATCGTACTTTTTGTAATTCCCCTTTAAGTGTGAGTTGTAACTATTTATTTATTTTTTACTAATAATTTTTGCTTTCCCTATTGTGGTTCGGGCTAACTCCGGTATCATTTGGTATCAGAGCTAGTATAACCCTAGTTCTATCATAAGGTTTCCTAACATCTGCCTTACCCCTATGCTAGAAGTTTTTTTTCATATTCTCAAACCATAGCTAAAACTTTGACCTAATCCTAATTTCCTCTTGCTAATCTCCAAAATCAGAAACCCTAAATTAGATTTTATGCCCTTTTTCACCTGCCAATTCGAAACCTTAGCCATGCCACCAAAGAGATTCATGCTCAAACCTACCCGAGAAGAGATACAACAAGAGATCTGCAGACTTCAACGGAAGCTTGCAAACATTGAGGATGAAACCTAGGGGGAACTTACCCTCGACGGTGACATAGAAAGCCAAATAGGCGGAAGAGACGAAAATTTCAACACCTTCTTTAGGAAGGATTTCAATGATGTAGAAGAAGTGTCACGTTGCTTTGGAATCCAGTATCAGAGTAGGCAGAGAGAAGAGCCAATAGATGAAGAACGAGAGAATCTGAAGATGAAACAAAAGATACAGCGTCTGTTCCTACCAATATACTACAGACAAAATGTTCAGAGCTTAGCTTCAAAAGTGGAGGAACCACAACACCGAGACACCACCATATCTTACAAACAGAGTTCAACCTTGGGATATTACAGCTATAGTACAAACAAAAGAATACCTAAGACGACCCCATCAGAGGAAAAATTGATTCAGAATGGAGAACAAATGGAACCAAACTGTATCCCTAAATTTTCACAGCTAGGAAGTATTGCAAGTGCCACGGATTTGGGCATGATGAATCAGATTGCACAACCCAGGAGTTGATTTATATGATTGAGCAGAGCATTCTTGAAAATTTTGGTAACAACACAATACTCTGAAGAAGATGACGACACAAAAAAGGAAGACCAACTTCAATTTGGGGGGGGGGGGGGGGA